CAGGTATACTCCTCCCGGCATCCTCGGTCTTGTCGGCAGACTTCATGCAAGTTCCATTTTTTGTATCTTGGAAACTTTCTCTTTTGTTCCGGCAGAATCAAGGAACAACGTTCAAGGAACCAGAACTAAAAACAATAAAACATAATATGAGTATAACAAGAAAAATATTAATAAAATTTTAGATTTGTTATTTGCGTACCAGTAACAGGGTAACACATCCATGTACGGAGTCCACAACATTTTCTATAGGTTGATTCTCAGACTTTGCCTTTGCAGTTACTTTGTGTACAGAGTTCATGAAGAACTTGACCACCTCTTCTGCCCAATTGAAGTCATTGATCCTCTGCAGATCATCCACGTACTGAAAGTACGACCAATTAACAGATTGACTTGTAGTGAAGAAGAAGTTCGTCATGAGGCTGAGGACTATTATCCTTGTAACATCTTCATGTGCTTCTTGAGTATTTGAACCTTGCAACCTTATCAATGCTGCTTTCAAGTCTTTGGAAGTGACTTTATTTAGATGACCAAAATTTCTTCTATAAAACTCTGTTTCTGGCCTGTTACTTCTTGTGCCATCGGCAATTACTAGTTTTGTTTGGCCATTCGTCAAGCCAAAAATAAGTTGACATTCTGTGGTTTTGATGGTCAACCTTTTTTTCCCAATAATAAAAGCTTGTTTATCTGGGTCATATGTCGATAAAATCCTGTGTATTAGGTGATTTGACTTTTTAACTGAACAGGGGGTGATTCTTTGACAAATGATGGGTATGTAAAATTCACCAAATGGTGTTTGCCTTAAGGAGGTTAGATGATCTTCAGTAAGATGAACCTGATCGCTAAAGTGAAAAAGTCTAGTGAAGCTTGATCTGTATTGAGGGTTCGATGGATTTTGATGTCGAATTTGTCGTATTCTTGCCTGTGTTGGCAGTAAATGTTCATCTGAATCCCTGTTTTTAGGTTTTGGTGTTTATGGACGATCTGAGGGGGAGAAACAAAGTATAACAATAAATAAGGGAACTGAAAACAGATATGTAGTGTATATAAAAAAATGAATTGGATGGAAGAAAAAAATTACGTGCTATAGCTTTTGTCCTCATTTTTTCGTCACTGAAGCTGAAGCGACGATGGAGAGCAACACCAGATAAAAATCACTGTTAGATGCAGCAAAATAGCAGGTAATCAAAAAACTATTCAACAAGTGGCATGTGCACCACACAATTACTGTGAGCAGCATGAAAACATGGCACATACAAATAGCTATTTCTCAAACATTGGGGTTATGCAAACACACAAAATCACTGTCAGATCCAGGAAAATAAGGTGAAACAACTATTTCTCAAACATGGGGGTCTATGCAACACACAAAATCACTGTACTTAGGCAGGAAAATAAGGAGAAACAGCTATTTTCTCAAAATCACTGTCATGCAACACACAAAATCACTGTCAGATCTAGGAAAATAAGGGGAAACAGCTATTTTCTCAAAATCACTGTCATGCAACACACAAAATCACTGTCAGATCCAGGAAAATAAGGGGAAACCGCTATTCTCTCAAAATCACTGTCATGCAACACAAAAAATCACTGTACTTAGGTAGGAAAATAAGGAGAAACAGCTATTTTCTCAAAATCACTGTCATGCAACACACAAAATCACTGTACTTAGGCAGGAAAATAAGGAGAAACAGTTATTTTCTCAAACATGGGGGTGATGCAACACACAAAATCACTGTACTTAGGCAAGAAAATAAGGAGAAACAGTTATTTTCTCAAACATGGGGGTTATGCAAACACACAAAATCACTGTCAGATTCAGGAAAATAAGGGGAAACAACTATTTTCTCAAAATCACTGTCATGCAACACACAAAATCACTGTACTTAGGCAGGAAAATAAGGAGAAACAGCTATTTTCTCAAACATGGGGGTTATGCAAACACACAAAATCACTGTCAGATTCAGGAAAATAAGGCACATAATAACATCTATGTTCAAACATGGGGTTGTGTATAACAAAATCACTGTCAAATTCCCGAAAATAAGGCACATAAATCACTGTTAGATGCATGCAGGCAAAATTACTGCCAATGCAGAAAATTGAGCCCTAATAATGAAAAAACATACACAATAGCAGGATTTATGTCATAAAACAAACATTTGTATAAAATACTGTTAGAAAAAACTCACAGAGTTCGTACGATTAGGGTTTCGCAGAGTTCAACTGTATTTTTTGGGGATTTGACAGTAACTTCGAAAGATGTAGCCGAAATCGTTGAACAATCAACAAGATGAGAGTATATTTTCGAAAATCGGAGTGATTTTTTACAATTTCCGGCGAAAATCGTACTCACAGCAGCAGCGGTTTTGGTGAAGAAAAACCGGTGCAAAAATCGCAGCACTTTATGTTTGGAGTTTGTTTTCGCAGAAACTAAAAAAAAGGGGCGGGGGGGGGGGGGGGTCTGTATTTTTTCACTATTTAAGGGAGGGTATTTTTCGGAAAGTGGAAGCAGATGGGCTTTTTTGTAGAACTGTTTTTTGTCTGGATTTAAATGCAAATAAGTACCACTCAATGGGCCTATTTGCCATTTGCCCTACAGTTGTATGCAGTCATATACAGTCATATATGTAGTCATGTATAGTCATGGATACATAAAACTATACGTGACTATAGAACTTGTGGTATACTATAGTCATTTATAGTATCGTACAGTAAATTTATCAGGAAAAAAAATCATGTTTTTTTTTTGTATTTTTCATGTAATCTAACTCGCATGTTCCATTTTGCTCTTTTAACTTGTATTTTTTTGTCACAGGTTTTGCTTTGTATAACATTATGAGATGCAAAGAATAAGACGCAGAGATGTGCCATGTGAAGTTGCATTCATGCTACAGTACTCAAAACTGATGTCACTTATGTAACTATAGATAATTGTTGATAACTATGGTCACGTGTTGTCAGTGGCGGATCTACTATGCTTCTAGGGTGTGCAACTGCACACCCTTGATTTAAAAAAAAAATATTCCTTATATATTTATGCTTTATATTTATTTCGATGTATATCTTAGTTGTATTGTAGTTCTAGCTTGAATGGTAAAGCATTCAAATATATTTTTGGGAGGTACAGAGTTCAAAACTGCATTTTACATGTTTTTTTTTTTTTTTTTTTTTTGTAATATTTATAATTTTTTTAAATATTTAGAGCACTATATTTTAATTATACCTTTAAATTCTTATTTTTTATATATATTTATGGTACCACTATTTAAATACACATTTTGCTACTGGAAACTATAATTAATTTACAGTTTTTCGAATATTTTCACCAAATTTATGTCGAATATTTTCTAAATTAACTCAAAGATTTATAAATGATCTTTTTATATTTGAAGTTTTACATATTCCTATTATATTTGAACCCCGTAAACTTTTAGTCCAATCTCGCACCCCCTTGGCAAAAAACCTGGATTCGGCACTGCGTGTAGTAACATATAGTTATATGTATGCTGTGTGTTTTTTAATGTATATTAATGCGTGTTCATGTTTTAAATATTATATGCACGTGATTGTGTTTTTTTTTGTTTTTTTGGGTTAGTTGATTATCAAGATTGAAATTGTGAATTTTGTTGTTGGTGTAGATTAATTTTGGGGTAAAAAGACATTACATGATTACATATAACTATACGTGATTGTGGTATACTATAGTTAGGTGTAGTACACTATAGTCATGTATAGTCAATTCCAATACAGTAAATTTATCAAAACAAAATTAAAAAAAAATTTAAAAAAAATTAAAAAAAAATTAAAAAAAATTAAAAAATTAATTTTTTTTTAAAAAAATACATAAAGGGTATGCATAAAAAATAATAATAAAATAAAAATTTATATTTTTTATTTAAAAACATCTATAAAAATGATAAATGCATGCTCAAAAATGCTAAATGGAGTTGGGCATTATGCTGTATGCAGGGGCGAAAATACTGAATGCAGCTGAGCGAAAATTGAACTTAAGGGCACAACAGTACTTTTGCTTCTCCAGGGGTTATCTCAAAGGAAGAATTTTAGGGGTGGACCTACCCCTATATATTTTTTATATAAGGGTGTATATCCAATGGACCCTTAATTATTATGTAACTCACGACATTTTCGTAATATTTCTTGTGCTATATGTATAGTACATGTAACGTGTTATGCACACAAGAGGAATCGAATAATATTCTTATTTCTCTCTATATTGCTCCATAGGATTTCTTTTCTTCTTTGCATTGTTGTTTTCTATTAGTTTTATAGCATGTTATCAACACGAGTTTGCTCTACTTTAAATATCCTTTTCTACCTAATAGAAAGAAACTTGATGGAAAGTTACGACAGTATTTTCATCTAGTAAATCAATCATTCTTTTTTTTTGAAAATGCATTTCGATATTACTCTAAGTTAATTAAACAATCGAAAAAAAAAATCCCATTCCATCCAATCTCATTATAGAAATCAAAAGAGGTATCAATATTTGGTAAATCATGTGGGACTAGCTCAGTAATCTTTGGATGGTTTTACATGAATTGTATTTCTGATAGAAGATTTGGTATTCGAAATTGCATTTCTAATTGAAATTTTTTTGTAGTGATTGTAGGCACCTTTGATGTTACATGGGTATTTCTATAAATTCTATTATTAGATTAGGTAAGAATACTTAATTAAAAAATACTTATTTAAAAAAAAGGGGAAATCCTACTTTTTTATTTTGTAAAATATCCGCCCATTAACACTTATTTGCAACTAAGGAAAATTTTCTTATATATACTAAAACCACTTCCAACTCTTTGAAACCCTAATTTAGCACAATTTCATAATTTAAACCATAATTTAGCCCCAATTTTACTAATTAACCAATTTTGACTGTCACCGTTGGCCTCCAACGTTGCCTTCTTTTTTTTTTTTGATTTTTTTTCTTGGCGATGACTTATTTTTTCCTCGCTTTTTGACCGCCACAAAATAATATTACTGCTAACATAATAATATTATTGTGTTAACAGTAATCTTATTGTTTTGAATTGCAATATTACTGTCTCAAACAATAATATTGTTGTTAACACATGATATTATTGTCTTGACATGCAATATTATTGTCTCAGACAATTATATTATTGTTAACACAATAATATTATTATGTTAATATTAATATTATTGTCTTAGCCTGCAATATTAATATATATCGGACAATAATGTCTTTTCTTTGAAATGTTGAGAGCTTCGTTGATTCGAGGTACCATTTGGTTGCAAATTGAGGGCACCGACAGTTGTCGAATCTATAGTGGCTATTATAACTTGTTAATTTAGAAGAATATGTAGTAGAACTATTTAGTTTGAAGAAAGCAATATTGTGCTCTTGCTTCTTGATTGATAAGTAAATAGTGACTTTTGGCTTGAGTTTATGTAATATTTGTTTGGACAAATTACTGCCATCCCCTAAGGTAAGGCCAATTACGGAAAAAAAAACTATCTTGTTTGGGTAATTACAGTCACCCCACTTTTTAACATTTTTACATAAAATTTATATAATTCGGTTATTTACCGTACCAAATCGTATATTCAGTTCGGTAAACGGTATGAAATGCTGGAGTACTGAAATTTCGGTTCAGTTTTACCTATTTAACATCCCTAAATTTACCTCTGGAGGGGTATTTTCGTAAGATAATATATAGTTGAGGGGTGGTTATAATTACCCAAACAGGAGGGGGGTTTTCGTAATTTAACCATAACTGAGTGGTTGGCCGTAATTTGCCCAATTTGTTTCTAGTGTTGACTGTTGATAAAGCTTGCTGCTGTAATTTAATATATTTGTCTCATTATAATAAAATTATATCTCCTTGAAAAATTGTCACCTACTGTTATGGTCTGAAATAGTGCTATAGTTAGTGATAGTTTCATTACATGAAGTGTGCAGTGGTCATGGAAAACATCCTCTCTCGGCTGCCGGTGAAGACTCTCTTCAGATTCAAATCGGTCTGCAAGTCATGGTACGCCACCATCTCCGACGACCAGATATTCGCCGGAGTTCATCTCGGAAATCCCGAAATATGAGTTCCTGCAAACAAGACGTATTTTTCAGGCTTGAAAAACAAGGCCCGAATTTCTGGCCAATAGTCTCCCACCAGCAGTGGCGGATCTAGACAACATTTTAAGGGGGGCGATTTTTTTAGGAAAAAATATATCCAACGGGAGGTTATAATTTTGGAGATTTCAGGGCAGCGCCCCGGAATTTTTTTTCGGGTTATTCACAAAATATTGCTAAAATAAGTATATATTTATAATTTTGAAGTAAAAATATATATTTTAGTAGTTGTATTTTATATTGTAATAACAAATAGAGAAAGAATATATAAAATTACATAAAACAATAGAGAAGAAAATAAAAACAGGGGGGCCAAAACACATATTTGTATAATAATATGCCAAAAAGCAAGAAAAGAAAGTTGGAATATTTTTTTCTGGGGGGGCGGCTGCCCCCCGCCCCTTAGTAAATCAGCCACTGCCCACCAGCATCAATTTCTACCGAAGAAGATCGAGTCTCAATTGGATCCAACCGTGTTGTGCTATTCCGACGGCTTAGCTCTTCGGCGCTACCGTGGGATCGACACCGAGATTTACGTGCTCTGTAATCTATCCACCGGGTCCCGCGTAAAGTTTGCCTGCCATCATCCAATACACCATCACCCTCACCAAACGGTTTATGGGATTATCTACGACCCGTTGATCAACGATTACAAGGTCGATGTTATCGATAATAACAAGCGCTACGCGGTTTATCAATGTAGAACCGAATCTTGGAGTGCGTTGCAAGAAACCAACTTTTCGTGGGGCCCGCTAATCACGGGCAAAGGCGTGTCGCTCAATGGCGATTTATATTTTATTCTCAAAACCCTAGAAAATTAAAGAAGAAGAAGAAAGTCGAGGTAGGATTAAAATAGTTGGATTCGACTTGAGTCTCCAAAGTTTCATCCATTTGCCGGAGCCGGATTTTTTCATGTTCCTGACTTGTTTGGAAGATTGTATGTATTTGTGCATCAACCACAGCTGTCTGGTGATCAAAGTTGTTGGCGGGAAACATGAAGAAAAATCTTGGCGGGAGTTTGAGGGTTTCCCGCCACTTTCTACGCGATGGAATGATGATACTATCAATTGGTATTATCCAGGAGGAGACGAGACTGAACTCAACGCGGGTAATAATTATATTATTCGAATGGGTTATTAACGAATCCCATATCTGGAAAATTTGTTTATCAGTGAACCCAAACGAGTGAAGAGGAAATTGAGATCGATGGACAAGAATTGGTGATCTTTGATACATGTTAGTGCAGTAAACTTCAATTGAGAATTATTTTGTTTATATTTTGATTGGATAAAATTCTCATTTTAAATTATTTTCTTTGGATAAATGGGAATTATACCATAGATTGTTTTGCACGTTGCGTTCTAAATGAATTTTCTTACAAGTGTTTCCATTAACTCACTAATTTATTACATTCTGTGACTAAATTTCCTATGTCATGTTTGGTAATTTTTTATGACCATTTGAAGAGACAAAATCTTATTGTTACAACACCTATAATTTTCAATTGATACGAAAATACAATGATTCTAAAGTTTGAAAATACCTTCTCCTACGAACGAAATCTTGAAATTACCAATATCATTTTAAGAACATAATTTTAGGATTCTCTTGTGAGAACCTTATCATAAGAACCTTATCGTACGCACATATCCCACCCATCTTCTCGGCGCCTTTGACCCTAGACTCGGGACACGTGTACTTTTTTTGTATTTTTCTAAAATCGCTACAGGTTAAACCAAGTTAGGGAATATATAATAATTAATTAGATATGACACGTGTCAGCAGAGGCCCACCAGGTGTTTATGACCGAGTGTAAAGTCGAAAGAACCCATCTCCTCCATCCTCCTTCAATGTTGGAATAAATTGAATTAATGTGAATTCAATATTGAAATTAGTGGCAATTCAATATTAGAAGAAGTGGGCATTCATGTTAGAAGAAGTGGGCATTCATGTTGGAAGAAGTGGAGGATTGAATAAATGTGAATTTGAAGCACTATTGTCTAGATGTATAGACAATTGTCTTTTGATTTTCCTAAGTATTAAATTAGAATTAAAAGAGTTGTTAGTGTATGAGTTATTTTGTAATTTATTAGTAGATTAATGTACTCCTCACTATAAATATGGAGTGCTAGAGATCATTGTAAGCAAGACAAAAAAAACCAAAAAGAGAAGTAATTTTTCCATCCACAAAACACTTGTATTTTACTTTCTCTACTCAAAAATATTATTTTTTCAAGTCTTCACAAAATCACTAAAATCCAAACTTGGGATTAATCATTTTTATCCTATCCTGGTGCCTATCTTAAAAATGTCCACCAACCTTGTTTCTCTTATACCTCATTTCAATGGAGAAAAATTCGATTATTGGAGTAATCTTATGAAGCTTTGTCTTGAATCTCAAGACATTTGGAGCGTTGTTGAAGAAGGTGTTCAGACTCCCGAAAATGAGGATCAATTGACGAATGCACAAAGGCAAGCTTTGAGAACAGAAAGGCAAAAAGATCGAAAAGCTCTTTTCCAAATATATCAAGCCATCGAAATTCCCGTCTATGAAAGACTAACCAAGGCGAGTAGTTCCATGGAGGCATGGGAAATTCTACAAACAACCTATGCCGGGAAAAATGAAGTAAAGAAGGTTCGTTTGCAATCTTTGAGGGCTGAATTCGAAAAATTGGAGATGAAAGAAAACAAAAAAATTGTTGAATATTTTACAAGAATCACCTCTCTTGTAAATCAAATGGCGACAAATGGCGAAGTCATGGAAACCCAAAGGGTTGTCGAAAAAATTATGCGAAGCTTGCCGGTGAAATTTGATCATGTTGTTGTGGCTATTGAAGAGTCACAAGATCTCTCATCAATGGCGTTGGAGAGTCTACAAGGACGATTGGAGGCGCACGAAGCAAGGATCCTTCAAAGAAATCCTCAAATTTCTTCTCCGGATCAAGCATTAAAATCCCGAGTTACATTCACGGGAGGCCGTGACTCGTTCCGTGGTCGTGGCTGAGGTCGTGGCCAAATAAGAGGAGGAAGAAACTCTTACAACAATTACCGTGGACAAGCCAAATCAAATGAAGAGGCGAAAGAGGAGGAGAAATATTTTCCGAACAATTTTCAAAGAGGAAGAGGCCGAGGACGAGGATCATATAAAGGTACAAGGCCTTACGTTGAGTGTCATTATTGTCATAAACCGGGACACAAAATCAATGATTGTTGGGAAAAATATCCAGAAAAAAGGCAAGAAGTTGGTTATTTGCATGAAAATAAAGTCGAAAATATGGAGACTTTATTGATTGCATCTAACGGTAGCTTTGAAAATACTTGGTATTTGGATAGTGGTGCGAGCAAGCACATGACGGGGAATAAAAAATTATTCTCAAATCTCGTCGAAGCTAGCCATGGGACAGTTACGCTTGGAGATGGATACACCTACGCATTAGAAGGTGTTGGAGAAATTGTCTTCAAAACAAAATCCGGAAAAGTCGAAACAATGTCCGAGGTTTACTATGTACCTAACTTGGCAAGTAATTTGCTAAGTGTTGGTCACTTGATGAGGAAAGGTTTCAATATGTTTTTCGACGACTTCACTTGCGTTTTGAAAAAGAAGGATCAGCACATTGCAAATATCGGTATGACCGGAAATAATATTTTTCCGATCAAACTTGATAATTTTGAAGCCTCTTGCCATTTAACCGTGAAGGACGATGTTTCAAAGTTGTGGCATGACCGGTTCGGGCATCTTAATTTCCAAAGTTTGAAGGAGTTATCAAACAAAACAATTGTTCAAGGATTGCCGAACATTAAAGCCATGGACGAAATTTGTGAAGAATGCCAATTGGGGAAGCAACACCGAGAGCCATTTCCTTCCAAATCAAATTGGAAATCACAATCACCATTGGAGCTCATTCATAGTGACCTTTGTGGACCATTTCAAGTTCCCTCTCTCGGTGGTAATCGGTATTTCTTGTTATTTATTGATGATTTTACAAGAAAAGTTTGGGCTTATTTTGTGAAAGAAAAATCCGAAACTCTTTCATGCTTCAAAGATTTTAAAATCCAAGTTGAGAAATTTTCCGGTTTCAAAATAAAAAATTTGAGGAGTGATCGTGGTGGAGAATATTTATCTTCTTTATTTGAAGAATTTTGTCGAATCCATGGGATTAGACATGAATTGACGGCCCGGTATACTCCTCAACAAAATGGCGTGGCGGAGCGAAAGAATCGAACAATCATGGATATGGTTCGGTGTATGTTGAAAAATAAGAATATTCCATCGGAGTTTTGGGCTGAAGCGGTTGCTTGTGCCGTTTATTTGATCAACCGATCACCGACGAAGAGCTTGGAGAATTCTACTCCAAATGAGGTGTGGTATGGTAAGAAGCCAAACATTTGGTTGTCTTGCATATTCACATATTCCAAATGCTATGAGAACCAAACTCGACGATAAAGCCGAAAAATGCATTTTCATTGGGTATAGTGAGAGGTCAAAAGCTTACAAGCTTTACAATCCTCAAACGAAAAAAATTGTGATAAGTCGGGATGTTCGTTTTGATGAAAAATCCTCTTATGATTTTTCAAAAAATTCAGAATCATTAACTTGGCCGACCCTTGGAGACGAAGAAGGCGATTCTCAAGCAATGCAACCAAATGATGGTGAAAATGAATCTCCACAAAATTCACCATCACCCCCGCCAAGAAAAACGAGGAGTTTGAGAGAACTCTACAATGAAACGGAGGAGGTGAATGCATCAAATTCTATTTTCTTTGCATTCATTGCCGGGGAGGATCCAATCTCTTTTAATTTGAAGAAGCCTCAAAAGAAGAAAAGTGGAATCAAGCGATGAAAGAAGAGATCAAGGCGATTAAAAAAAATGAAACTTGGGAGCTCACACCTTTACCTTCACACAAATCTCCTATTGGTGTGAAATGGGTGTTCAAAACAAAAACCAATCTTGATGGTTCCATCAACAAATACAAGGCGAGGCTTGTTGCAAAAGGATACAAACAAAAAGAAGGAGAAGACTTCAATGAGGTATTTGCTCCCGTTTCAAGACTTGATACAATTCGTTTAATTATCTCTCTTGCGGAAATTTTCATGAAGCCACTTGAGGTCCCGTTTTTTCGAAAAATGTGGAAGGTTTGGAAGTCAAAAGCAAATTCAATTTACGGGAGGCAATGTTGGAATAAATTGAATTAATGTGAATTCAATATTGAAATTAGTGGCAATTCAATATTAGAAGAAGTGGGCATTCATGTTAGAAGAAGTGGGCATTCATGTTGGAAGAAGTGGAGGATTGAATAAATGTGAATTTGAAGCACTATTGTCTAGATGTATAGACAATTGTCTTTTGATTTTCCTAAGTATTAAATTAGAATTAAAAGAGTTGTTAGTGTATGAGTTATTTTGTAATTTATTAGTAGATTAATGTACTCCTCACTATAAATATGGAGTGCTAGAGATCATTGTAAGCAAGACAAAAAAAACCAAAAAGAGAAGTAATTTTTCCATCCACAAAACACTTGTATTTTACTTTCTCTACTCAAAAATATTATTTTTTCAAGTCTTCACAAAATCACTAAAATCCAAATTTGGGATTAATCATTTTTATCCTATCCTGGTGCCTACCCCTCGTGAGAACCTTATCGTAAACACAGATCCCAGCCATCGTGGTTTTTAATCGAACGCAGATCAATTATAATATTCCACAATTAAGTAATTAATTAATTAAGGGTTAGTGGATCACTAATCAAAAGTATATAATTATTATATTTATAAATTATTTAATTGAAATATCTCTAAAAATTAGTTTTTATAATCTAAATATATATAAAAAATTAATAAAAAATAATATAAACTGTTGGATATGCAGCAGGTCAGGGTGCATATTATTAGAAGTGGTGAAAAACATTGAAGAAGAAGAGAGAATCAGAATATCGTAATTTTATTAATGGAAAGTCTGAGCTACTACTCAACGTTAACTATTATATATATATATATATGGATTATTTTGTAAACTCCGCTCATTTCCAAATTATATAGAACTAATTATCAAGTGGATTACACCCTAGGTGAAACTTCCTCATTTCGAAGATATTTTGACATACCCCCTTGGGCCACCCTAAAGTTCCTATAATACCTTTTTAAAATCAGTTTTAAAACCTAGCCACCCTAGCCACTATATTTCGGTCTCTCTCTTCTTCTCCCAGATTCAAAATACCGCCTCCACAAACCTCCTACCGGCGAAATTGCTTCCCGGAGTCATAACTCTCTCTCCGGTGGTCGGAATTCGATGGTTTAACTACCGTTGGATTCCTCTCGTCGAGCTCTTTCTTTTGGTGGTGATTTCATTCAGTTTGGAGCGCATATTTGTTTCTGCATTTTTTTTCTCATTCGACGACGGTGGTCTTGCCGGAGGTGTACGTATTTTGTGTTCCACCATTCGAAATTTGACGGGCTACCAACCGTTGGATTCCTCTAGTCGAGATCTATATTTTGATGGTAATTTCGTTGTTTTTATGTTCTCAGATTTATTTCTATATTTTTTTGTATTTGTGGGCGCGCGGCCGTGGGTGGTTATTAGCGGCGCCTAGGGTTTTGGTAGGAGGCGAGGGGGTGAAGTTTCACTGTCTGTTTGAATTAAAATATGTAGCATTTCCCAGCAATAACCCATCTCTCTCTATCTCTCGATCTCTTACTGTTTGTTGATTTTTGACTGTTTTGATTTTTCTTCAAATTTTGTTGATTTGCACTAAAGTAATTTTTTTTGTTTTGATTTTGCAATTGCAGCTTAGTGAAAGCCATTGATCATCTCCTTGAAGGTGTCAAAAATTTGGTTGAAGTTACATGTGAAGCAGTGTTCAACAAACTGTATACATTACTATACATATAGTAACATGTAGTTACATATGCATATATTTGTGTATTTTCGATTTGTATTTTATTGGTTCTGAAGTGATTTATAATAAAAATATTGAATTTTGCAATTTTTTGTTGGGGTATGAATTTCTTTTGTATAAGCCAGTATTCGTGTGTGTATACAATTGATCGACTAAAAATTAAATATGGGGAAAAAAAACGAACATAACTACGAATTACTATAGGTACCATAGTTACATGTAGTTATTTTCAGTACAGTAAACATATTGTTTTGAAAATTAAAAAAAATAAAAAAATAAAAAAATAAAAAAAAAATAAAAAAATAAAAAAAAAAATAATTTTTTTATTTTATTTTTAAATTAAAATATAATATATATATATATATATATATATATATATATATATATATATATATATATATATATATATATATATATATATATATATATATACACACATATATATATATAACAACAGGTTTGGGGCAATTTTTTTTTAGTGTTGTTTCAGATTGTAGTTTTTAAAATAGGATTGTTTTGGGGGTGTAATCGAATTGGGGTTGAACGCCATCCACCACGGCGGCACCGACAGGAGACGCCAGCTCCAACGGCGTCTCGGTAGGAGACGCCACAGGTGGTGGCGTCTTCTCTTTAAATTTTAATATTTTAATATTTTAATATTTTAATATTTTAAAGATTTATATTAATATTTTAATATTTTTTGATTTTTAATTTTTTTTACAAAATAAAACATTAATGTTAGTATTAAATTTATTACATTTTATATATTTTATCCATTAGTGTTAAATTAATCATTGGTTATATTTATCTAATTAACACAATAAAATAGTGTACAATCAAAGCGATTGGTATGGCTGTTTGAAGGTGGTGTTTATTTAATATTATTTTATTTCATACTGCTGATAGTGGACCTTATTATCAATCTATGATAAATAATATTGTTGAGGTTGGGCCAGGAATTAAGCGGCGCCCTTTTGGCCGTCAAATTGATAATACTTATCTAGATAAGGATGTTTCTGAAATTGAAAGGTACATATCCACTTTAAAAATAAACTGGTCAGAATATGGTTGTACAATCATGTGGGATGGTTGGAGTACTAAAATAAGATTCATATCATCAATTTTATGATATATTGTGATCGATCAATGATATATTCTACTTTTGTGAATTGTACTAATAAAATAAAGAATGTAGATTTTGTTTATCTCTTATCAACAGTGACAAATAGTGAATCTTATGAAGTCAACATAAATAAATAAAAAAGTAGTCAAAGACCAGGAATTACAAGATTTATAACAATATTTATTCCTATTAAAAGTCTTGTTGGACACTCTATGGAGTTGAAGAGAATGTGCACGTTCGGTTGATGAGTGAAAAACTTATAATCACTAGTAGAAAAATAACGTTTTACTACAATTTCTTTAGTATTACAAAAATCCGTAGCAAAGGTACCTTTTACTACGATTCCAAGATTAATTTTGGAATCGTAGTAAATGCTAAAATTAACCGTAACAAAAAATATTTGCTCCAGCCATTTACCGTAGTAAAGTTTTTGTTACGCTCGTAAATGCAACAGAGCAAATACGTAGCAAAAACTTTTTTACTACGAATTATAATTCTTTTTGCTAGGTTAATGATCGCAGAAAAAAATATTTTTCTACCAGTAAGTAACACTTCAAAAGGATGTTATCCAAAATTATTGATACTCAGATAATTGGGTGGCATTTTAGTATTTTCCCCTATTGAATCTACTCAGTATCTCCTTAGGTCTAACAGTAACCGATTGACAGAGATTTTTTTTTACCAATAATTCATATTTAATTTGATTAACATGCTCGATGTATTGGACAAAATCTGAAACTCCAATCGTATTAATTTGTAGGGTGAATTACAACCACCTCTAAGGTATGGTCAAATTACGAAAAAAAACCCTCATGTTTGGATAATTACATTTACGACTCAATTATGAATATTCTAATTAGACGTACATTCTTATGGTGTCACATTCAACATAAATACTTGTTTATACAGTTTCTGATGCACCACAATCTGATATATACAAGCCAAAAAACACATGATCATCTTGCTTCAAAATGTACAGAATGTGATTAAACGGGTACAAAATTGAGAATACTCTATACAATTTAGAAGATTCAATGAAACTGCAAGGGTGGACGTATAAGAATATTTATAATTACCCAAACAGGAGGGAATTTTTCGTAATTTGACCATACATCCGGTGGTTGGTTGTAATTTACCCTAATTAGTAATTATGTTTGTATGACGTCACAAAAAGGAAAAAAAAAAAAAAAAAAAAAAAGGTGTTTGTACTAGGAAAGAAGTTTACCGACTTAGGGTTTAGTATTATTTTATAAGTAGGATTTGTGTTTTTCTTTTTATATAGAAGTAGGATCCTGAACGCCAAAGAAGAAACCAAAAAAAAAGAAAAAAAGCACAAATACTTGTTGCCATGGACGAAATCAAGGAGAAACTGCCGTACGACGTCGTCGAAATCATCCTCTCTCGACTGCCGTCCAAGTCTCTCTTGAGATTCAAATCCGTCTGCAAGTCATGGAACGCCACAATCTCCGGCGAAAGATTCGCCGGGGTTCATCTCCGGCAATCCCGACAGAGCTCCGGCAACCAAGATATCTTCTTCTGGTGCGAGGTCCCACGCTTCACAGACTATTCCCAAGTAATGGTCACCAAAATACCTCAACATATAAGGTCAAAGATGAAACTTGAACAATTGGAGCACGAACAAAAACTCGATCCGAGGGTTTTGTGCTATTGCGACGGTTTAGCTCTTCTGCGATACGGCAAACTTCTTTACAACCAGTACGGCAAACTTCTGAACAACCACTACGTGCTATGCAATCTATCCGCTGGGACCCACGTCGAGTTCTACTGCCCTTACGACGAAATATCATACAGCTGGCATAAAAGGGTTTACGGAATCTGCTACGATCCGTCCATTAATGACTACAAGGTGATAATTATCGACTACGAGCGCTACGCGATATACTACTGTCGAGCCATGCAGTGGAGCGAGATTAGAGAAACCCGGGATGAATTTTTGGGTGGTGGATTATTTATTGGGAAAAGCGTGTCTTTGAACGGCGACTTGTATTTTATGCTCAAAACCGTGGAAGATCGCGGTTATGGTATCAAGATAGTCGGGTTCGATTCGGTCAACGAAAAGTTCAAGAGATTTCCCGAGCTGACGTATGGGAGAAAAGATAGCTTGTTCATGTACATGACTTGTGTGGGGGGCTACCTTTATGTGTGCTTCAACAATAGCCGTTGTCAGATGATTAAAGTCGGAGGCGGAGAAAAAGAAGAAGAGTTGATGTGGGTCGATTTAAACGGTAGGCCACCGAATTCCGAGCAAGTCGAGTGCGATATGGCTTCCAATATTCAAGAATATGTGAATGTACTTGCCTTCGACCGCATTTATTGTATTAAAACGGGCTATCAGCAAATCCCGTATCTGGAAAATCTGTTTATCAGCGAACCAAAAAGAAAGGGAGGTAAGAAAATCATCACCAGTTGTTGATGATTAATTAATCTTCAGAATTAATGTGGTTTTGTTATACATATATAGGATATTTAATTTAGATTTTTTTTTTATTTAATTAAATTTAGATTTCAGCATATAATTAATTAGGTATGGGTTTTCTTTTATGCAAACTCAAATTGATATCTTCATGTTTTTTTTCTTCCAAATTAATAATTTATTTATCTTGCCATTTTATTTTTTGTATATAATTAATTAATTAATTAATTGATTCACTAAATTGATCTATTTAAGGCTTCATAATAATATTATCATTATTTAAAAAATTATTATTATTTACTAGGGACAAAAATTGGAAAAAAAAACCCTTATGTTTGTACTAGGCGTAACAAGAAGGAAAAAAAAGAAAAAGAAGAAAAAAAAAAGTGTTTGTATTAGTAAGTCATCAGGGATTTCAATGCTGACCACCCCATCATTGGGATCACCTATGGTGCCATACCCAATACTTAACACCAATTCTGAAAATTTTTTTACTTCAGAAATCTCTGAATCTGATTTGCCGGATAGGAGTCTCGTATTTTTTGTCACTGTCAGAACTTGACAATATTCCCATAAAGGTGATGAATTAATGCTGGCAAACACTACTTCTTCTTTTGTTCCTTTTGGGATCACATGTAGAATCTGTCTAAAATCGCCACAAAAAACAACTATTTTTCCACCGAACGGTTCCTTTTTGCTGTTTGGATTGGAGAATTTGAGTATATCTTTGAAAGTCTTGTCCACAGCCTCAAAGTGTTTTACACTTTTACTACCGATCAAATATTACGAATGAAGTCGATCCAGTACTATCAATGGCACTCACTTGAACGAACTCTGAACCTGTACAAAAATATATATTTTATATACAAATTTCGAATACCAAAAGGAATGATGGTGCAACAATTCCTTCGCACCAATATTTCTTTCAGACGGGTCGGCCTTCCTCATACAATTTTTACATGAAGTATACCACCAATTAGCTTCCGACTCGATTTCCAGAATTTTCGTCAGAACGGATCCAACACACTCCTACAATATATATACAACAATCGATTCTTTATCATTATATTTGTTCATGTAAAAATATATCATATATATGTTAGACAAATCAACATACCTTTGTACTCTCAACGCACTCATCTATGGTCATTCTATCTGCCTGGAGTGGATCGTCCGATCGAGTCAAAGAAAGTTGGGACGATAATTGACTAACTGATGGGACATAGACTTCTTCGCTCAACACAAGCCTTTTAATTTACAGGTATTAATTTGGTACATATGCATCAATTTGTTCAGCATTCGGTACATATGCATCAATTTGTTCAGCAAATGCTTCCCATAAAGTACATTTCATTGTATTTTCCTATAATGTAAAATAAATTACTAAAAAATTTATAAGAATAAATCCATATAAAAATTGTAAAAAAAAAATTATAATATTTAAATTACTCTAAATCTTGCAGAATAACATCCAAAAGCTTGCTTTTCTCTCATTTTGTAGTGATCTCCTTTATATGCCCCTTCTCTACCACATGACCAATTACATATGTACAAATAAATAAATTAAATCAAATGTTTATATACCGAATCAAATTGCAACATTATTTGGATTACTGAGGATTTCCACATAACCCTTGTGATACAGACGACACAGAATATATTAGCGGTAAGACAGAACAAACATTTACCAAACTAAGTTACATGAAAAATTCGCGTACCAAATAATAAATATTAATCCACATTCTTCTTTATTGTGTCGAAAGAAACGAACTTGAAGTTGGTTGTCAGAATATTTTCGGCTACTGTATTAGTAACTACAGTCATTCCGACAAAATTGAGCTTAAATCTGTATGTAGATACTCTAAATGGTAAATTTGAATCACCCACCAAGAAATTTTGAAACATATAAGTTTCGCCTTCTTTCACCAATTCCTTAAATTTCATAATGAGATTTTTTTTTTATGGTAGCATGAATACGCATACCCTATTACAAAATCAATAAAATAGTTAGCTCCTAAATATTGGAAATATTAAAAGAAAATAATAAAATAAAATTTGAAAAGAATCTGGAAAATTAAAAACATCACCTTCTCATCCAAAAAAAACCATTTCAATGCGACCCGTTTCTGTTTTTCTCCACCTATCTGACACTAACCATAGACGAACTACCCGTACAATTATCTTCCAATTAATACTGCTTGTATCAATTTCATGAAGCACTGAAACCTGTGTAGTTGAAATTCGTGGAGCCATAATAACTGCTTCATTGAATAAAAATCCTTCAATGAAATAAAAATCAGGATATTTGAGATTGAGTTAAATTGGGCAAACGAACCGAGACCAAAGCAAGTGAAAACAGATTAAAGAGCACGGACCAAAGCAAGGGAACGGAAAAAAGAACAGGGCTTTCTTTACTTGAGGTGTTGGAGCAGCAAATACACGGAGAGATAGAGAGAGATACAAAGAGATATATGCTTATAAAGAGTGCTTGTAAAGAGTTTGTGGGGAAAACCTAAAAGATATCCATGGATCTTCTAAGATATATGTATCAAATTATTGTTCCCGATAATTCTTTGGAGGGAACGTGTGATACAAAAAATTGAGGAACGTGTCATTGAAAAGTTGTGGATTTAAAATGTTGAAGCATTAGTAGAAATTAATATATAATTAAACGTGCGTATCATTGCAAGATTTGATAGATTTATCCTAGTGTTTAGGAGAGTAGTTGAAAGATTAGCAGAAATTAATATTTAACTACGTGTTTAATTAGTAGATTATATGAAATTTAATAAAATATGAAAAAATAGTATTAAAAAATTAATTTAGATTTATGCCAATATTTAGGATATTAGTTAAAGGATTAGTAGAAATTACTATTTAATTACGTGTTTAATTAGTAGATTATATGAAATTTAATAAAATATGAAAAAATAGTATTAGAAAATTAATTTAGATTTATGTTAATATTTAGGAGATTAGTTAAAGGATTAGTAGAAATTAATATTTAATTGCGTGTTTAATTATTAGATTATACAAAATTTAATAAGATATTAAAAAAAATTGGATTAGAAAATTAAATTAAATTTAATAATAAGATATCCTCTAGTATTAGAAAATTAATTTAGATTTATGCCAATATTTAGGAGATTAGTTAAAGGATTAGTAGAAAGTAATATTTAATTACGTGTTTCATTAGTATAGATTATATGAAATCTAATAAAATATGAAAAAATAGTATTAGAAAATTAATTCTATTTATGCCAATACTTAGGAGATTAGTTAATGGCTTAGTAGAATTATTATTTAATTACGTGTTTAATTATTAGATTATACGAAATTTAATAAGACATGAAAAAAATTGGATTAGAAAATTAAATTAATTTAATTATAAGATATCCTCCAAATGAGCGGGAAAAATTGACCTTGGGATTTTCTAGGGTTTCTACAGGAACCTTTCTTTTGTTAATAAAATAAGTTGTTGGAGCGTATATAAGATGGTTTTAAAAAAATACATCCACCCCACATTTTTTGTTTGGGTCTTTACAAATAAGCCCATCAATGGGAACTTATTCATAAAGAGATTCAGACAAAAAACTCATTTACCAATAAGTCCACACATGGTCCAATTTTTTGTAAAGGACTAAAATAACCCCTCATACTTTAATATGCTCCAATTTCACCATTAACTTTATTTAACCACAATTTGACCCCAAATTTCATAAATTATTCAATTTTGACCCAAACCTTTTTTTTTCAAAAAATAAAAATTTCAAAAAAAAAAATTCCCGCCGGATTCCGGAAACAACAATATTGATGTGATTGACAGTAATATTAACTATCTTACTGTTAAACATAGTAAAATTAACTAAACTACAGTTTAACACAATAATATTGCTATATTAATCTCTAGCACAGTAATATTAACACAACAAAACTCATTATTATTGTGTAATAGAGTAATATTACTATGTTGACCGTTCAACAAATGTAAACATAATAAGAAAACCAAAAGAATTAATATTACTGTGAGTGACAATAATATTACTATAACAACAGTAATATTACCGTCAATCACATAATATTACAATAATAGACAGTAATATTATTACGTTACTCCGTGAATAACTCAAAGAAACAAAAAAATCCAAAAAAAAAATAATAATATTGATGTGGTTGACAGCAATATTACTATAACAACAGTAATATTACCGTCAACCACAGTAATATTATTGTGTTTACAGTTATATTACAATAATAGACAGTAATATTATATTACGTTACTCCGTGAATAACTCAAACAAAACAAAAAACCCAAAAAAATAATAATATTGATGTTGTTGACAATAATATTATTGTGTTCACAGTTATTTTACTGTCAACGACAGTAATATAATTACGTTGACTTGTCAACAAATCAAACAAAATAAAAAAAACAACAAAAAATAAAAAATAATAATATTACATTAACTTACTGTCAACGGCAGCACAATTATATAAATGTATTATCAACAGCAGTACAATTACGTTAATTAACTGTCATTGACAATATAATTACGTTAATTTACTGTGAGTGACAGCACAATTACGGCCAACGTTTAGCGGCGGACGTAAGAAAAAAAAAACAAACCAAAAAAAAAAAAAAACAACTTAAAAAAACACTAAAAAAAGTCAACGCCTGAGACCGCAGGGAAACCGGCGAAAAATTCCGGAAGAAAAGAAAAGAAAAAAGAAAAAAACAAAAAAAAAAAAAAGTCAACGCCGGAAACCGGCGAAAAATCCGAAAGAAAAAAAATACAAAAAGAAAAAGAAAAAAAAAATTGAAAAGTCAACGCCGGAGACCGGCGGCAAAAAAAAAATTTTGAAAATTTTTTTTTGAAAAAAAATGTTTTTAGTCAAAATTGAATAATTTGTGAAATTTGGGGTCAAATTGAGATTAAATTAAATTTAGGATGTAACTAGAGCTTATTAAAGTATGCTAAAAAAAAGTCAAAATTGAATTTTTTTGCTCAAAATTGGATTTTTGTAGACAAAATTGATTAAATTGGGGTTATAATTAAGAATTGGGTATAAATGGTTGAGGGTAATATTGGCATATACATGAATGTTTCCTTTATTTATTAAAAATAATAAATGGATGAGCTTATTGGTGAAAGAGATATAGCCTCAAAACCTTGAATAATAAACATGTTTGGTTGTAGACTTAAACACAAAAACACCTTTTTGTTTAAGATCTTATTTGCTTATCTATATCTATACTATACTAATTATAAAAGTGGGAATATTATGGAAGGTTTCTTCCATTTTATGTGAGGATCAAAATACCCTTATCCATAGATAACATAGTAATATTAAATGTATAAAAGGATAATTGAGTAATAACAACAAATGACAAAAAAAAAAAAAAAATAAAAAAAAAAAAAAAAAAAATAATAATAATAATAATAATAATAATAATAATAATAATAATAATAATAATAATAATAATAATAATAATAATAATAATAATAATTAATAATAATGCAACTCACTCATTTACAAAGTAACAAAAATCACCGCATGAAATTCATTTCAAAAGAAGAAAAAAAAACTCTCCACATTTCTGTCGAATGAAATTATTTGATTGAATGTGAGTAATAACATATATTACTTAATAGTAATACATTAGAAATGGAACTGAATTAAAACCTACCGACCGAAAAATATATCCAAAAATTCTCTTAATGAAAAAAAAAAAAAAAAACTCTCCACATGCCGTTGCAACCAATCAATCATCATTAACACAATCCCATTCATTACTATGGAGACGTTTCCGAATCACCCGTTATCAAATAGAAAAAAAAACTGATAAATAAAATATATCTTACTCTTGGCTCATTCGGCAACGTGGTCATTCCGGCGGTTCACGTTCGGTGGAGGCCGGCATTGTTGTGAAGGTGATGCAGGCAACGGGATGAAATTAGTGGGGAGTTTTGTGGGTAAGGGGCGACGCAAGTTGTATATGTTTGCGACATCCAATGGAGATGCTTATTAGGTGCAAAGCTGGAGAGATGATAAAAAAATGAAAATGAAGAACATAAAAGCATTTGTTCAAGTTGTAGAGCTGCAAGACATTGTGCCAAGATATCACCATGAATCAAGAGTATTTTTTTTAATTTTTATATTTTTAACTATATACTAATTCTTTATGTGTCTTATTATATTAAGACATAGACCATAGATAGTGTTTTTTTTATGGTAGTTCTTTGTAAAAACAAAATATTGCTTCCAATCTTTGTTTTATTATTTTTTTGAATATTATGAGGATCACAATCATAATTTGTATTTTCATGTGTATATTGATGATGCATAGATGTATTATATATTTTCATGCATATACTGCTTAAATTAACTATCAGGATGCATGTCAAATGATTCAACAATGTCTATATCAAGGGGTTACAAATAAATCAAAATTCTTGAACACTTCATCTAAAGGCCTTACGAGTTGGAACTCAATTATGAGAAGACTGATTTTGATGGATCAGAAAGTAAGTATACAAGCCTAGCTCATTTACCTATTATATTGTTTCAACACCTAAGAAACTAAAGACTCCAAAATTGTTTTTGCAATGGATTTTTACACTTTATCGTACCTTTTTATTTGAGCTTTTGGTGTGTTTTAATGATAATTGGTGCTTAAAAAGTTGATTTATTGTATTTTAGGTACAAATTGAAGAATTGGAAAAGTATGGGGTCAAAACTGCAATTTTGGAGAAAATATGGGCCAAAAGTGAAAAAATCAAAATTCTGAAGATGTAAAGCTTGGACCCCCGTCCCAGTTTTAGTTCAAATTGTGGGACCCCCGTCCGAGACTCCGAAGTTGCGCAGTAAAGGGATTTTAATTGCACAAGGAAACTGCCTTCTTCCCCAAGTTCTTCACCCTATATAAGACCAATCCAAGCACACAATTGAGGACCCTTTTTTTACGCAATTTCAAGAGCAACAAAGCAATAACGAAGACGAAGAATTCGAAGACTCTAAGCATAGATTTATCGTTTATGACATATTTTATTTGCGTTTTTTCCTTTAATCATGAGTAGCTAAATTTCTTATTTCTAGGATTTTATTTGGAACCCTAAGTGGGATTTATGAACCTTTTTCTATGATTTTATGCAAGTTTTAATTCCGGATTATTTATCCTACTTGTTTTATTAAGTGCATGAACTTGATCAACTTATGTGCTTTTATGTTATTGTTAATCGCATGAATCGGAAGATCGGGTTAATAATTAGAACGGTGGTAGAAGAGCCTTTGTGGTATTAACATAGGAATATAGTTAATCTCTTAGGTAGCCATTATTGAGATTTGTGCTTAATGCTATGTTCTAGAATTAATTGCGTAGGAATACAATAATTGAATCTAGGGTATTAGAATCGTAATACACGCGGAAGCGGGTTATGATTAATTTAGCATCTCAGGTTAATAATCCGGGTTAATTACTTGCATAATTGAAGGAATTGGGGGATTAATAATCACATAGGGGGAAGAATAAAATCCTAGGCTTGTCTACTTTGATTAAATCTTCGTTTTAAATTGCTTTCTTGTTTTCGCTTGCTTTTTAATTTAGTTTAATTTAGTTAATTCTCTCCAAAGTCGACTGTGTAGGGTGGGCTTGATAATAATTCGTAGAATTTAGCGTCTAGGTTTAGATAATTAAATATTCCCTGTGGGTTCGATATCCGGACTTAATTGTCCACTATATTACTTGTACGATACGTGCACTTGCGTGTAGGTTTTCGGCCAACAAGTTTTTGGCGCCGTTGCCGGGGACTATTTTAATTATTTATTTTATTCTAGCTCTATATTTGAACAATTTTCACGATTCACCCATTTAATTTTCGTTTTATTTTATTTTTGTTTTAGGTACTTTGTATGCACAGGAGACTCGATCTTGCTAGAGAACCGTTTGATCCCGAAATCGAACGTACTTTTCGAGCCGCTAGGAGACTTCAACGCGCAAACAATATAATGGAGGACGAAGAACGCAGGGCAGCGGGTAATTTACTCGGGGCCAACGGAAACCAAGTCCAAGACCCACCCCCTCAACTTCCAGTACAGCCAGCAGTTAGGCCACGGGCACTTCAAGATTACATAATCCCGACTCATGACGGATTCCGCCCTAGCATCCAATATCCACCTATTGAGGCGCACAATTTTGAGATCAAGCAAGGCCTATTGACGATGCTCCAAAATAACGGGCTATTTAGTGGATTGGCAGGTGAAGATCCCCATCTTCACATTGTCAATTTTCTAGATACCTGTAACTCCCACCGTCAAAACGGCGTTTCCCAAGAGGCGCTTCAATTAATCCTCTTCAAGCACTCCTTACAAGGAAGAGCTCGCCAGTGGTTGATGTCCCAAGCCCCCAACTCTATCTCGTCGTGGTCTCAACTCCTCAACCTTTTCATGAAAGTTTACAGCTCACCCGAGAAGGGCGAGAGAATCCGACGAGAAATTCATAATTTCGTCCAAGAGCAAGGCGAGCAATTATACGAAGCATGGGAGAGATTTAAAACTCTTTTGCGGCAGTGTCCAACACATGGAGTCGAACAATGGCGGCAAATCAACATCTTCTACCAAGGGATTAACGAGAATGCACGAACGGTCTTAGATGCATCAACCGGGGGAAATTTTATGAGTCAATCGATACCGGATGCTTTCATCATGTTGGATCAAATTGCACAAAATCGGTTTGCCAAGTCAAGCGAGAGGACGGTTAGTGGAGCCAAGAAAGTTCACGGAGTGTTGGAGTTAGATGCAATTACGGCCCTTCAAGCTCAAGTGACCCAAATTGCTCAACAAAATCAACTCCTTCTGCAGCACATCAAAGCAAGTCCACCACAACATGTCCAAGAAATTGATTCTCCATGTTGTGAAATTTGTGGTGGAAATCATTACACGCTCCAATGCCAACAAGATGTGGAGTCGCTCAACTACGTCAACAACGCGCCTCGTCAATTCCAAAATCAAGGGTGGAGATCGCAAGGGCAATATGGAGGAAATCAACAAGGACAAGGATATCAAAGACCTCAAGGCCAATTCCAAAATCAAGCCCCTTCTCAACAAAGCTATCAAGGAAACAATCCACCGGCCCAAAAATCAAACACGGAGGAGATATTGGCCCAATTCATGACCGCTACCCAAGCCTCGTTGCGAAATTTGGAGAATCAAGTCGCGCAATTAGCGTTGAATCAAGAGAACCGTCCGAAAAGAGCATTGCCATCAAACACGGAGGACCCAAGAAAAAGGCAAAACGAGCAAGTACAAGCGGTGAGCCTACGTAACGGACGACAATTGGAAGAAGCCCCTAGAAATGAGACAAATAATGGAAAAACCAAGACAACCAAGGCAGCGGAAGAGGGCACAAACGTTCCAAGTGAAACTTCAAGGGCAACAGTCACACCGGCTCCACCCATTCCATACCCGCAAAGATTTCAACCGCCGAAGTTAAATACCGAATACTAAAGCTTTGTTGACAAGATGAAGGAAATTCGTATCAACATACCTCTCATCGAAGCACTCCAACAAATGCCAAAGTGGGTGAAGTTTGTCAAAGAACTCGTAACCAAGGGACGGAAATTGCAAGGAAACGAGATGATTCAACTCACCGAACAGTGTAGTGCAATCCTTACGAGACCTCTCCCTCAAAAACTCGGCGACCCAGGTAAGTTTACTATCCCTTGTACAATAGGAGATAAATTTTTTCGATCCCTCATTGATTTAGGGGCTAGCATCAACCTTATGCCTTTTTCTACATATAAGAGTCTTGGGTTAGGTGAAATAGAACCAACGGCCATAACACTCCAATTAGCCGATAGGTCTCTAGTCTACCCCAAGGGGGTTTTAGAAGATGTCTTAGTGAAGGTTGACGAATTTATTCTTCCTGCTGATTTTGTGATTCTTGATATGGATGAAGATAGAGAAATCCCAATTATTTTGGGAAGGCCGTTTTTAGCTACTTCACGTACTGTTATTGATTGGTCTAGTGGGGATCTCACCATGACGGTGCATGACCAAACTATTAAATTTAACGTTTTTAATGCAATTAAGCGTCTGCACAACTCTAATGAGTGTTTTTCTATCGATTTAGTGGAGTCTTGTTCTTCCGAAAATTTTGATTCGTTACACTTGGATTCTTTGGAGGCATCTTTGGTTGTAGGTAACGATTGTGGAGATGAAAGAGTGGAGGAGCAAATTTGTTGGTTAGATTCCGGCAACTTTCTCACTCGGCAAAAGTTTGAAAGTTTGGATTTGGCCACCCTTACCACCCCCAAGGCATTCAAAACATCATTGGAGGAACCACCACAGCTTGAGATGAAAGAATTACCCGCACACCTCAAATATGCCTACCTCGGTAAGAATGATACTTTGCCGGTAATTATCTCACAATCTCTATCTACTTTGCAGGAACAAAGGCTTTTGGAAGTACTGCGGGAACACAAGATGGCGCTTGGATGGAAAATTGCGGATATCAAGGGAATTAGCCCTTCATTGTGTATGCACAAAATCCTCTTGGATGATCAACAACATCCGTCAGTAGAGCAGCAAAGGCGTCTCAACCCCATCATGAAAGAGGTAGTCAATAAGGAAATTCTCAAGTGGCTCGACGCAGGTATTATTTATCCGATTTCTTATAGCGCATGGGTAAGCCCCGTTCAATGTATTCCTAAGAAAGGAGGTATGACAGTTATCCGTAATGCAAATAATGAATTAATTCCATCTAGAACAACAACGGGTTGGCGAATTTGCATGGACTATAAGAAATTAAATAAAGCCACTAAAAAAGATCACTTTCCTTTACCTTTTATTGATCAAGTGCTTGATAGATTGGCAGGTAAAGAATTTTATTGTTTTTTAGATGGATATTCGGGATATAATCAAATAGCCATTGCACCGGATGATCAACACAAAACCACATGTACATGCCCTTATGGTACTTTTGCATTTAGACGCATGCCTTTTGGTTTATGTAATGCACCTGCTACTTTTCAGCGGTGCATGATGGCTATTTTCACCGATATGGTAGAGAACGGTTTAGAAGTATTTATGGATGACTTCTCTATTTTCGGTGATACTTTTGACACTTGTCTTTGCATGTTGGCTAAGGTTTTGCGCAGGTGTGAAGAAACCAACTTGGTGCTCAATTGGGAGAAGTGCCACTTCATGGTGCACGAAGGAATTGTGCTTGGGCATAAAATCTCGCGAGAAGGCTTGGAAGTGGACAAAGCAAAGATTTCCACAATTGAAAATCTTCCGCCACCCATTTCGGTCAAAGGCATTAGGAGTTTTCTTGGACATGCGGGCTTTTATCGGCGTTTTATCAAAGATTTTTCAAAAGTTGCCAAGCCCCTTTGTAACCTACTCGAGAAGGAGACAAAATTCAATTTTGATGGTGAGTTTCTTCAAGCTTTCAACGAGCTTAAGCAAAGGTTAGTATCCGCTCCTATTATTTGCGTACCGAATTGGGATGAACCGTTTGAGCTTATGTGCGATGCTATTTGCGGTTTGCGCCGTTTTAGGTCAAAGGAAAGAGAAAAAATTTCGATCAATTTATTATGCTAGTAAAACTCTTAATGATGCACAATTAAATTACACCACTACGGAAAAAGAGTTATTAGCTGTTGTTTTTGCTTTTGAAAAATTTCGCTCTTACTTGTTAGGACCCAAAGTTGTTGTTTTTACTGATCACGCTGCCCTCAAATATTTGTTTACTAAAAAGGATGCAAAACCTAGACTCATTAGATTTTAATGTTGCAAGAATTTGATATTGAAATTCGTGATCGAAAGGGTAGCGAAAATCAAGCCGATCATCTATCTCGACTTGAGAAAGATGTAGACGAAAGCGATAGAATTTGCATTAATGAAAATTTTCCTGATGAACAGTTGCTTGCTTTTGATAGTAAGGTACCTTGGTTTGCCGATTATGTAAATTATGTGGTTAGTCAAGTGCTTCCACTGAATCTTAATTATCATCAAAAGAGGAAATTTTTGCATGATGTTAAATTTTATTTTTGGGAAAAGCCTTTTCTTTTTAGACAATGCAGTAATTTGTTGGTGCGAAGATGTGTCCCGGAACATGAGCAGCAAGACATACTCTTTCATTGCCATGGTTCGGATTATGGAGGACATTATGGGGGCGAAAGAACAACACGTAAGGTTCTTCAATCAGGTTTTTTTTGGCCCACTCTTTTTAAAGATTCGTATAAATTTGCTATTACTTGTGATCGGTGCCAACGCACGGGCAATATTTCAGCTCGCCATGAACTCCCATTGAACACGATGATCGAAGTCGAGCCTTTTGATGTTTGGGGTATTGACTTTATGGGACCTTTTGTCCCTTCATTCAATAACCAATACATCTTAGTGGCCGTCGATTACGTTACTAAGTGGGTAGAGGCAATAGCCACCCCTACTAATGATGCATCTGTAGTGTGTGCTTTCTTGAAGAAACAGATTTTCACTAGGTTTGGAGCACCACGGGCAATTATTAGTGATGGTGGATCGCATTTCGTCAATAAAAAAATTGACAACTTGATGGGCATATATGGTGTAAAGCACAAGGTTGCACTCGCGTATCATCCACAAACGAATCGGCAAGCCGAAGTTACGAACCGCGAAATCAAGAATATCTTGGAAAAAGTGGTAGGCCCAACAAGAAAGGATTGGTCGAAAAAACTCGATGATGCACTATGGGCATATCGCACAGCTTTTAAAACGCCATTGGGAATGACCCCTTACCGTGCGGTGTTCGGTAAAGCATGCCACTTACCATTGGAATTGGAGCATTGTTCTTATTGGGAGCTAAAAAAGATGAATTTCGATTACAAAGAATGCAAGGAAAGAAGGTTATTGCAACTCAACGAGTTGGACGAGTTACGAGAGCAAGCGTACGAGAGCAATTGGTTATACAAAGACAAAGTCAAAAGGTGGCACGACAACAACATCTTGCACCGTCAATTTCAAAAAGGGCAAGAAGTTCTCTTGTTCAATTCACGGCTTCGGTTATTTCCGGGAAAGCTTAAATCAAGATGGTCGGGGCCGTTCATCGTCCAACAAGTCTTTCCACATGGAGCTATAGAAATCAAGGACCGTGAATCGGAACGAGTATTCAAAGTAAATGGAAATCGACTCAAACACTTTGGGGAGATGGTGGCGAACGTCAAGTGGCCTTGATCACTTTTGCTTGAAGAGAAAGAAGCAACGTCTGGCTGAAGACTTTAAACTTAGCACTTCTCGGGAGGCAACCCGAGCTTTATTGTTTTTCATAGTTTTCATTTTGTTTTTATTTTCATAGGCATGCATTCTAATTAATTTATTTGTTTTTTTACTTTTCAGGGTCGAAGGCATGATCGGGGGGGTCCAAACGGCCGTCCGTCCGTAAAAAAAAAAAAAAGGGAGGTTGAGACGGCCGTCCCACAAAAAGGCACAAAACAGGGACAGCCGTCCCCAAACCAGTGAGTTGTGGCAAAATTCGGACGGCCGTCCGAAAAACAGGTATAAAACCCGGACGGCCGTCCCCAAACCAGTGAGGGACCAGCACATCTCGGACGGCCGTCCCAGAAATAGGTATAATTACGGGACGGCCGTCCCATGAAAGATAGTGAGGCAGAACACTCGGACGACCGTCCGAGAAATAGGAGTAGAAATGGGACGGCCGTCCGAGGCAAAAATTGGGCGTTTTTAAATTCTAAAAATTAGATTTTCTCCCCCATTATTTCCTAAACCCTTCTCTTTCATTCTCTCAACCTCCCACACACAATTTTCGAATTTTTGAACTTCTCTTCCAAAAATTCTTCAATTTCACACATATAATTCACTCACGCACTCTCACATCACTATTTTGTGTTGGTATTGACAGGGAGGCCAGAGAATCGAACCAACTTCTTCAAAATCTCATCTTTCAAGGCACGCCCACAAGGTGTTCGACAAATTGCCTCAACCAAATTTGGAGGTCGATTCTCATCCAATTCTTACCGAATCCATTCCAAATCTTCTCCCAAATATGTCGTCCCACAAACGAGGTCGCACGGATGAAGCTTCATCTTCCAAAGGCAAAGGCAAAGGCAAGAAAGGTGCCACCAAAACGACGATTCCTTTTCCCGCAAAAGAAGCCTTTAGTGTGGAAGGCGCCGCGGCTCTATTTACTAAACAAGGCAAAAAGACCGTCATCACGGAACGGGCCTTGACAATCACGTTGCCGCACTTTGCCAATCTTAACCAAGAAATCATAAGACGAGGATGGCAAAGGCTGTGTGAACCAGAGTCAATTTACAACATATCAATCGTACGAGAGTTTTATGCGAACACGTTGGTACTCAAGCATCCACGAGAATTCACTAGTGTGGTACGAAAAATTCACATTAGTTGGGAGACGAAGGATATAAATCAATATTACGGGCTCCTGTATTTGGGTCAAGATTGGCGAGAAATGAGCAACGAAGTCACCAAAGAGCAAATTGGTGAAGTGTTGAGTGACGGACATCCAAGATGGATCGAATACCCGGACAAAGGGACGTATGAGCTCAGTTGGAAAAGCATCAATTATGAAGGCAAGGTGTGGTTGACGTTTATTTGCGCCAACATAATCCCGACCACCTCGTTTAGTCGGATCAACCACGAACGGTGTGCGCTCGCTTATTACATTATAACGGGGAAGCCGGTCGACATCGGGTCAATTATGTCCGATCAAATTTGGCTTTCCATGCGCGACAATACAAAGGGCATCTTCTTCCCTAGCCTCGTCACGGGGTTGTGCACAAGAAAGAGGGTTCCCAAATTACCAAATGATATCGAGCTCAACATCCGGAAGCCGATTGCCGATTTTGCAGCCTCGCTATTCAAAGAAGCCACCTATGACGAGCCGCAAGCCGCTCTTCAAGCCCGAGACGAGCCCGAAGCCTCAAGCTCCCGTGCCGATCGACGATTCTGAAAGAAGATGGAGCGAGAGATGATAATTACTAGGAACCGATTGACTACCGTCGAGCATAAAGTTAATACGGTGGAGGCACTTCAACGGTGGTCGAGCAAGATGCTACAAGCTATTGTCCAACACTTGGGATGCGGGACGCCCGATTGCATCGAGCCGGCACCTTTACCGGCACCCATTCTTGAGCCCGTACCCGAGCTTTCCGATGAGGATGAGCGTGAGAGAGCGAGGGAGGTGCACCCCGATCACATCGACTCCGACTAAATCAGGTGTTTTCTATCCTTAAACTTTGTGCTAAATTCGTTGAGGGCAACGAAAATTTTAAGTTTGGGGGTGAAAAACATGTTATTTTTGTGCTTATTTTTTTTAGTTTGCATGCATTAGGTTTTATTCGTTTTTATTGTTTTACTCGTTTTTCCGGAATATAAAAAAAAAAAAAAAAATTTGCTTGAGTCGAATGCATCGATGATTTATGATGATGAGAGATGATCAATGTTTGATGATGAGATTGCTTGTTTTGTGTGATAAGGATTTGATGTTTGTTTACCTTTCGATTCAACGGGACTTAGAAGCGAATTATTGCTAGGAATCACATTTTGTGCATTGCTTTGGTTGAATGTTTTGTATTTTAAATTTGGAATTAATTTGTGCTAGATCATGCTATGTTCGGTTTTAGAACTCACCTTAGGAAATTTATGATACGAAGTATTGAGTAGTGAGTGATTTGGGATATGATTTGGGCCTTCTTTGAACCGTTTGAGCCTTTCAAGCCGACCTTTTTATTAAAAATTCCTTAGAACCTTGATTTGAGCCTCGGAGAAAAGGTGTTCTTTCTTTTAGCCAATGTGTAAGATAGAATAGGTGGAGATTCTTGAAAATTACCCCTTGGAGTTCGGTCGAAATTTTTTATAAGGTCCTTCTTCTTCTTCTTCGAAAAAAAAAAAAGGAAAAGAAGACAAATATCTATGCTTCTATATATATATATATATATATATATAAAAAAA